CTAGTGTATGCATGTCTGCAGGTGTACCATCATGTCTGATCCCAGCTGAGGATGAGATGTTTGGGGAACCAGACCGTGGGGACGATGAGGCTTCAGAGCCCGAAGGTGACGAGGATGACGAGGCCTCCCAAGCTTCGGAGGAGGAGACCGGCGATGTGCAGGGTCCCTTTGATGTGCCGGCTGATGACACAGCTGTCGATGCTAATCCCTTGGACATGGAGGCTGATGCAGCTATTGGCCCCAATCCCTTGGACGTGCAGGCTGATGCAGCTATCGGCCCCAATCCCTTGGACGTGCAGGCGGATGCAGCTGTGGACCCCAATCCATTGGACGTGCAGGCTGATGCAGCTATCGGCCGCAATCCCTTGGACGTGCAGGCTTCAGTGGCTATGGACCCTTTGGAGTGGGCTTCTCAGCGGTCACCTGCTGTGGTGGCAGAGGTTGTCTCGAGTCCCGAGGCGGTTCAGAGCAGGGAGGATTTGGCAAAGGAGCAGCTGCAAGAGCGGTTGCGAGCCCTCAAGAACATGATGGTGCTCAAGCGCGAGGACACGCAGCTGGTGCCGCCGGATGTCCTGGATCAAGCTGCGAACAGGCTGAGGTCTTTGCCATCGTACGAGGCGAGTGATGCATGCAAAGTAGAAGTTTTTCAATTTGTAAGGTTTGCAACATGTGTTTTAAAGAAAGGAAAATTAGTCCTGTGACAGGTACTTTCCGTTGGCTCCCAGAGGTCCCTGGCCCATGGCTTGCATCGTGCTGCTCCACTTGCTTCTGAGTCCGGTGCGAGTGGGTCCTCTGCTGGTGTGTGGCTGGGCCAAACTCAATGTGCAGATGGGTGCCGGGTTGTGAGTCTGTGAAAGCTCTTGTGCTATATCGTACTAGAAGGTTGTATGTGGTTGCATACACGACACTCATATGTAGTGTAGTATACTCCTGAAAACGTACATGTGTTATATCGATACGTGCATGGAATAGAAGGGTGTGCAGCATGCAAGGTTTCATAGGTTCCGTACATATTCGGGCTTACTTGTTGGTTGGAGTGCGGTTTCGACGATTTGAAGTCCCAAAGGTTGCAGCCCTCTCATGACACCAAGCCCGGAGCCATCGTGATCGAGGAGACCATTGAGCGGGGAAGGCTGTTCCGTAGGCCTTCGACCAGTGACATGGAAGGGCTTCGCTGCAACTTGGAAACCAAGTTTGCCGTCGAGGCGGCAACGGGTACCCGTGACGAGTTGCAAGTGATTGCAAGACCGCTGGCAAGTTCAAAGATGGGTTCTATTATGGGGCCGGGCACACGAGCCTCAAATCCGGATTCCATCCCAAAGCCTTGTGGCACACAGCAGGTTTCAACCCTAGAGCCGAGTGAGAAGGATCCCGCACTAGACTTTCGTGTGCCCTCCCAGAAGCCTTCCGCTTCAGAGCCTTGTGTGGTCTCCGAGAAGACTTCCACCCCAGACGCTTGTGTGGCCTCCGACAAGACTTCCACCCCAGATGCTTGTGTGGCCTCCCAGAAGAAGTCTAAGAAGCCACGTAGGGACTCCCAACAGGATGCCGGCCCCTCCCAGACCGCCATGAATGAGGCCAACTCCCTCCCAGAGCCTGTCAAGGTCGCGGAGAAGGATCCCCTCCCAGAGCTTTCGGATGGGAACGCAGCAGGTTGTGCAGCCGATATTCCGGAGGTTCCTCATAGCTTTACTAGGGTTGAGCAGAGGATGTTGCGGAAGCAAAAGGTGGCAGCTCAGCGGAAGCGCAAGCATGGCGAGGATCAGCCCCACGACGAGGCTGAGGGTGAGGATTCAGAGGCACCAGAGCCACGTGGACGTGGCCGTGCTCGCGGTCGGGGAGGCCGCGGTCGCGGTCGTGGTCGCGGCCGCAGTGGAGCCGTCAAGGATGATGAGGAGAAGCCTTTGCAGAGCCTGAGCCGCAGCCGTAGCCCGGCTGTGATGAAGCGGCCAGCTGCGAAGGGGCAGGTGTCTACTATGGTGCCAAAGAAATCGGCGGAGCCCAAGAACAAGGCCAAGGCTGTTAGCGAGGTGCCTAAGAAAGCGGCCCGGCCGAAGACGAAGCCGGGGGCTGCCAGCGAGGCGGCTGATCGCGAGAATGGTGCATCCCTGCAGGATCTATTGAAGCTCGTGTTGGACGGGTTGCCCCTACTCAAGGCCCAGGCTGCTGATATGGTCAAGCTGCGTCCGGACTACAACTCACGAGATGTACTCCCCATCGCGGTGGAGCGCCGAGGCCCTTTGAAGCAGATTGCCGGCTGCACACAGCTATCGCATGTATAAGGTTCTTGCATGCATGTGTACTTAGCACGATATTCCACAAGGCTTTCAGTTGATATGGCTTTGACCTAGGACCTTTGACAATTGCGCCAACTTCAAGCTCGAGCCCTATTGGACTCGGTCCCACTGTGGCATTCGCTACACACCATTGGGAAAGCACGTCCTGGTGGTTACGTATGCTTCTATGGCCGTGAACATCGCCTACTGCAATCATGTGGCAGCCTGACTTGATGGTGTTGTTCGTATGGCTGTTGATGTAGAGTAGTCCGTGCACATCTATAGACTACACAACATCATGCATACGGGTGTCTTTCATGTTCTTTTCATGTGTCATAGAAATACCCATGCAGGTATCATGTGATTTTTTTGGCACAACTGTTGGCTTTCCGGGTGCTTATCGTGCTGGAAATGGCACCCATTAAGTCTGTTACCCACCCATGTATATTTATATGTACACATACATACATAGGATAGCCCTACAACAACCCTAGAACCCTACAACCCCTGCCATGGGCACAGGTTTCAAGTGAGAAGGCTGTTCCGCGGTTTCGGGGCGGATAGAGTGCATGGGTGTAGAAGTTTCTGAATTTGCAAGTTCTATACACCCTTTACAAGGAAACCAAGCCATAACTTGAAATGGCTCTATATAACATTAACAATATCCACCCCACTATAAACTACTGCAGAGCCCTAGATCCATTTAGTCCTGAAGAGCCATAGCTGTATATGTTACTTCCTATACAGGACCCTACGAACCCATTCTGGGATTTACCAGCCTTTCAGGGTTGTGAGCCAGGATGTCACAGGGATCTTGGGATCCAGCATCCAAAGCTATCTACGATAGCCTGATGTGTGTTTGTGTGGGGTTACCCTATAACCTTAATTAATTTGGACCCACCCCTATTGAATCATAGACTGGAAACAAACCAATGCAAAGTACCTGCAAGCCTATAATACTTGACAGGAACCGGGTTAGGCCCGCTAAGCCCTAGCTATAACCACATATGCACCCGTCGTCAGAACAAGTGTTGCCGGAAGTTTTTTTCATCCGGGCCCACTCTGATCCCAGGTGAAGGAGCTGCGACGCCGGCTCCTGACAGTCAGTCAGAATGAAGGCTGAAAGCCCTTCATGGGTTTTGGGCAGGGATCACACTTGTTACAGCCCAAGTGACAATTACTAGCCTAGCTATGTTGCTGAAGATACTTCCATGCACATGATGGGCTTGTGCGAGTGCTGGCCTTACTTTGAAAGGCCTCGGGTGGAACACGTCACTTCGTGATGTGCTTGAGCAGTGCTTTGTCGGGGATTCGACCGTTACGAGGTGATCGCATGCGAAAGTGCTGCTTTGAACTTTGTCGAACTGTTTCGGGAATGGTGTTTTGGGGTACAGTCGTTTTACTGGTGTGCCTGTAGTCAACTGCACAGAGTCGTTTCCGGTTCGAAGGGTGAGCTGAGTTGGGAGTTTGATGTGGCTTGAGAATATTATGCTAAATCCTCTATAAACCCTAGCTTATATAACCCTATATATATATGCCCCTAAACCTCTGCATAATTTCTATATTCCCGGCCTTGCAAACCCCATAGCTAATATAAGCCTCGACCATCAAACCCGAGCATCCAGAAAGCCCTGACTTTTATGATTCCTTATAGACCGTGGTGGCTGTGAGTGCCACGACCATTAGGATCACAAGGATTGTGTAGCAGAGCAGATCACACAAGCGCCGCGGTCCCAATATCGGTCGGTGCTAGGAGTCCTAGGGACTAGCTGGGGGCCTATACATCTGAAGCTTTATAAGGCCTTCTGTAGGTGAGTTGTTTAGCCAAGTACTTTAAGAACAAAGCTTTGTCGAACGCTATTCTTGCTGTAGCAGTAGTAGTCCTTCTTGTCGTATGACGAGTCCTAGTGGTACTCGAGGTGGTGCTGGAAATGGACACCGCTGCACTGTTCTTAAACTTCTACTTATATGTATTATATATATATTACTACTACTACTACTACTACTACTACTGCTACTACTACCGCTGCTACTACCACTACTACTACTACTACTACTACTACTACTACTACTACTACTACTACTACTACTACTACTACTACTACTACTACCGCTCGTCTTGCTAGTACGACCGCTATAACAACTATGCTCTTCTTCTACTACTACGACGACTACTACTACTGCTGCTGCTACTGCTACTAGTACTAGTACTGGTACAAATACTACTCCTGCTGCTGCTGCTGTGCTGCTGGTGCTGGCTTCTGCTGCTGCTGTTCTGCTAGTCATAGCTTCTCCTCTCGATCTACTAGAGGTCCTATTTGTGCCGGGACAACCCTACAAACCCACAAAGCCTTCTAAGACTCCGCGCCCCATCGGCCTCCCAAACGTAAGCCGCAATGATGGTTTTCCGTGGCCCACCTGAGGTCAGAATGCCGCTCAGCACCAAGGGGTTACGCAAGGCTTACTCGAAGCTCAGAGGACTGCTGCTTCGGGCGCCTTCGGGCATTCTGGAATCGACTATGCTTGATGTCTTCAAGTTTGTAGATCTGACCCTGTGCGAGTATAGTGTCGAATCCTGATTCGTCCTAATTGGGGTACCGGAACTTATCGGAGTTGCATTCACAATTATGAGAGTCGGTTCTTTCGCCCACACAGGCACTTCCGGCCAAAGATGCATGCATGGGGCACAACTGTGAGAACGGTATCTATAGACCCGATGCTAGTGTAATGTAGCCCTTCCTTAAGCCCCCGCCCCTATATGAAATGAGAATGGCTACCTACACCTGCAGGATGCTAGACCAATTCTATAGCCCCCCTAGGCTTGCTTATAAGCACACGGCTATCCCGACTCCTGTGCAGGTTCTGAATGTATCTGCATAGTAAGAAACCCGACTGTGGCTGTTGAGTTTGTGTGCTTTCGGCTTCGAGATAGGAATAACCAGGTTGCTGCATTTGCTGGAGGAATACCAGTATAGTCGTGCAGAAGTAGTTGAATGCAAAGTGTAATGCAGTGCTACCGTGACTCACAATCGATCGATCTACTATCAACATAAAACCGCGCTGCCACTAAGCTGACGGTCTGAATTGTCAGCTGCCATGGAGCCTGCTCCGGTCCACCCGGCTTGGGAGCCGCAATCCTTGGTTCGGTGTCTTTACGCTGGTCGTGTGCCAAAGGTGTCTTTGCCCAAACGTGTAAGGCCCCACAACTATAGATGTAGATGCAGGTTTACAAATACAGTCGCACAGTAGAGCGACAATTGTGATGTGTGTCTACATGCATATAACAGGAGCACTAAGTACATCCGCATATGTTATATATATATATATATGTATATCTATAGGTATACATATATATATATATAACATATGCGGATGTACTTAGTGCTCCTGTTGTCCCACGGGAATATGTGTTTCGAAACCCTTTCTTTCGATTCTGTATAACCAAAGAGACGGCATTTATGATTGTTTCAACACATAAAACTTCTCCTTACAGTGCACATGTAAAACCATGTGAGCCACTGTGCTCCCAGGTGGTTGTGCTTTGCCTGATGCTTCTCCTCGCCAACGAGAAGATGGACTGGACACGTGCCTTCTGGCTGGAGAACCCATGGAGTACTGTACATGTGGAGACGGTTCGTTTTGAGATCATCCCCCCCCGCACCAACACAGCATCATGAGCTACTGTCGGCCCATGAGCAACAGACATGCATGAACTAGCATGGTGTGCTGTAGTTTGGCGAGTTGTGTAAAGTAAAACTTCCATCAGGTTTGGAATTTCGCCGAGTTCTTCGCTGGGGATGCAAACCTTTCCAATGCCCTGCGGAACATGAATCTGCCTGGGGCTTCCTTCGATCAGAAGTACCCAAGCTCCGGGATGGACTTCCGCACGGCAAGTGGGTTCTCGCATCTCAGCTTCTATCTGTACGGTTTCCCTCTCGACTGTTTTTTCACCCTACCTTTCCTGCTGTCTAACCCATTTGCATCCATTCTTTCTCAGGCTGGCTTTGTCGGCCATCCTTCGCCTTAAACCAGCAAGCCTAGTCTTCCTGGCCCCAGTGTGCAGCACCATGGGGACGTTGGTTGCGAATCATACTGGTCGGAGTTTCGTGTTACCAATTGGCGACACAAGACGAGAGGATGTAGCTGAGTCGAACCTCATGGCCATAAGGCCAGGAATCTGCATGAGTGCAATTATAAACCATCCGCCCGGTGAAATCATTGTCTTGTGCTGGGCCCTGCAGGACTACGCTTTTGTGCTGGGTCCTCTCGGCTCTTGGACATCGGTTCGTACTTGAGCAGCCGGCTGGGGGAATGTTTAGGCATCTCCCATTCTGGAGATATTTCTGCAAATATATTGCAATGGTTTTCAGGCAGGCGGTGTGGATGAGACAGTACGGTGCCAAATCTCTCAAGAGGACTTTCTTGTGGAGCAACAGCCCTGAAGTCAAACTCCTGGATCGTGGACCGATCACCCGAGCTGCTTAGTCTCTCTTGCAGTAAGAGCTTCGATTATGTCTTTCCGGTAAGTAGGAATCTCTACAACCCCCTTTCCTAATAGTATATATATATATACTTATATACCCTATACAACCCTATAAACCTCATGTTGTCACAGAGGGATGGGGTTTATACATACATAGGTCAATGTTGCGATTGGGCTGCCTTATAAGTCTATACAAATACAGGGTTGTTTCTGGTTTCGTGGGCTTAGAAGTTTGTGCTGTATTCTTCCGTGGGTTTCTGGAGTAGATGCTAACGACATAAAAAATTAAGGCATTGCGGGCAAGTGCCGAGCCTCTTTGCAAGAGATACTGGGATGCAAGACTGGGCAAGGAACGCTTCACCGGCATCAAGAAACGCCTCAAATCATCCCAGACCGCCTTAGGGGGAGAGGGGGAGGGATAGATTTTTTTTATGGTTTATGTAGTTCTTTATGGGGGCACCGGACCCGAAATCATAGGGATCCTTAGGGGTGCAGGGGGGAGGGGTGTAGGGGACTATATTTC